TAATTCAGAAATTATTCTCTATAACCAAATGATTTGTTCAAATTAAAGGGAATAATTAGGATAATATTTAGTGCATTAATCCTCGTGAATGATACTCTATTTATATTTTTAAAAAAATATGAGTAGATGTATTAAAAAATATGGTGCTCATTTTCATTATAAATACGGACATAGGTTATTTGGTTAATGTATCGACGAGTGAGAGTTAAAAACTTCTCTTCTCAATTTTTGTGTATCATCCAGTGAAAATTGTTAGGTGTATTTAGATTAAGGTTTGAGTGTTTGGGGTATTTCCACCTTTTGTATTCTCTGTTATTTTAGTGGCTATTTTTTATTTGTTTTCATCTATGTAATAGCTACCTTAAATAAATTTATTTTTTAGAAAAGCATCGTTATGTTAATATAACATTTTAAGCTTATAATCGTGCATGCAATTCTTTGGAAGATGTATAAAAGCCCTACAAACCTAGGTGGCATGTCCTTCTACCAATGCATGTTTTCTTCACAATTTTAATTTAATAATTATAAATCAGGACCTTAACTTGTAACTATAACTGCTATAACATATAATCATTAAGTTCTATGATATCTTTCAACGGAATCTATGAATGTAAGCATGAACCATTTACAAAGGTTATCCACCGAGTCCTTATTTTGTTTTTTGTTTTTTGCACACGTCTTATGGAAACTAGCCTTTTCTTTTCTTCCATTTAGAACCTGAACCTGAGGCTAAGACTAAAAGGTACAAGATAGTAAGTGAAAGGATAAGAGAGATTTCCAATATAAGAGGAGAGAAAAATGCTTTCTTTTCACTAAAGAGGGCAAAGAAATTTGAGCAAGCAAATTGGATTTCAAAGATGTTTGAACAAGAAATGAGATTGGCCAGAAGTGATTTATTGGCCGAGACTTTTATATGATCACTTTTTTCTCTATAAAGATGCACGGATTCTCATAAATCTTATCACTCAAAAGGAAAGAAATGGAAGTAGCCATTGACATGAATGCAGAGAAAGCATAGTTCCCTTTGGCTACAGCTTATTGGAGCTGACTCACTTATACAAAACTCATTTGTCTCGTACAATTTTGTTAATCAGCTCAGTAGGGTAAGTCAAAGTTAGTGTACTTCTATATAATGATCAGACATGGTCACATGGTCATGATCAACATCAATGATAGTTAAATATATATATTTTGGATAATATTTTCTTCTTTTCACATGACACAAGTAATTTTTCTACAAACACATAAAAGTGGACTCATCAATCCTCTTACTTTTTTTTATTTTAAAAATAGTGGCCTCCACAATTAATTGTTTACATGACATGACATGACATAAGAATTTTCTTACAACATAATATTTGTTTTTTTCATATATTTTTTAAAAAATTACTAAATTTCTTATAAACTAGAAAGAATATTTTTAAATTTTGTGAAAATTACACACGACTTATCCAAGATAAAATGAGCAACACAATAAATTTATCATATTATATTGGTTCATTAAACAATAGTTATGATCATGATTAGCAAACGAGACCTAAATTTTATTATCTTATCTTTTCCACTCTTAACCCCAACCCCCACAAGATTAGATATCAGGCTGTTATTAGGATAAGAGAAGGATAAGTTTATCCTATATATTAGTTCAAGCACAAATTAAGACAATTTATCCTATCACATCTATATCTATCTTATCATGTGCATGAAATAACATTTTAGAGTATACCCGCTTCACAAGTATTCACATCTATAGCCGGCAAAAAATAAGCTCAGTTCGGCGGGCTAACCCGCCTCACCCGTTAAACGGGGCGAGACGAATTGAGTTTTTTAAGTATCTCAAAAAACGGGGTGAACTTATTTTTTGGCGGATTGATATTGTAGGAATAAGTAGAGTAGTGTAAAATAAGCTCGGACTGACAGGTCAACCCGCAAATGAGCTGGACTTGACTGAGTTTTTTAGTTCACTTTTAAAAACAGAGCAAAACATATTGTCTCATTTTTTAACGGATTAATGGTAGGGCGGCATGCGACAAGCCCCCACTTTTCGACCTCTATTCGCATCACAGCACCTTATATTGGCTATTAACACACATGCGATCTCATATCGTAAATTCATAATGAGAGAAAATCATAATAGAGTCCCAAAGCAGTTAGAGGAAAGAATCTTAGGTCCTGTTTGATTGTGTTCTGGTTTTTTTTGTTCTTAAAACTGGTTTGTAAAATAGCTACGAAAACAGTTGTTTTTTATATTTTTTCTTTTTAAAAATTAAAAACCAAAACAGATTTGCAGAACACTATTCAAACATAGCCTTAATCTCTTTCACTCCTTCAACATTCTTTCCAATCTCATTCACTATATATGGACATTCAAAAGATTCCTAACAAGATCGACAAGAACAGCTACGGCAATATCTTCGCCACTGCGTTCAATGTAGGCACTCCCTTCCCTCGGCTCCCATAACTAGACAAACGAGTTTCGCCGCTGTAATGGACTCCATTGACACCGATAACGACGGGTACATTGAATTCCTAGAGTTCGCAATTTCTTCCCCTCACTCAGATTCTGAAAAATAAATTTCGAAAGATGATTTCTTTCTTTCTTCATTTATTTTCAAATAAGGATATTTTTTTCCTTCTTGAATTAAAGAAAACAAATCTTGAAAATCAACCACAACCAGGAATAAAATCACAACGACATATAATTTCTTTTACTGATATGTTAAACTGGGAAAAGAATCAAATAATAATCATGAAAATTATAATTAACAAGTTTAGAAATATTTTTTTACATTATTTATATATTTAATATTTATTTTTAAATTTGTTATCCGTATTATTTTAAAGAGGGATGTAAAGAAAATATATCTATGGCATGACAAAAGAAAAAGATAATTTAAGGACGATAAAAAATTTAAAATTTTAGGAGAACAGTTTTTGTATCATTAGGGGGTGTAAATGAACTAAGTCGGTCTACAGGGACCTACGTCTTAGCCTATATTAAACCAGACTTGACATATTATAAATAGTAAAATAGAACAAGCCTATGCTTTTAAAAAAATCAATTTAGAAAATAGACCATAGACTTTTTTATACATATCGGGCCTATAAGCCTACATGCTGACCTATATCATATTATTTATTTTAAATAAAATTATTATTTTAATAATTTTAAATAATAAAGTAATATTATTTTAGTTATTCTTTTAATTGTTGAATGTTTAATATGCTTAAATAGGCTAACAAACAGAGGTCGAAGCTTTAATTTTTTAAATATAAGTCAAACTATACTTGTAATTTGGGGACTGCACAAGCCAGGCCAGACACAATATTTTTTAAATAGGTCTTACCTATTTAAATCAAAATCTAGTCTAACCTAATATATTTACACCCATACCTATAGGGTTGACAAAAAGGAGCCTCGTAACCCATAAAAAATGAGTCGGGTTGGGTTGACAAAAATGAGCTGCCAACCCGACCCGAGCCAGCTCGAAAAAAATGAGCCAAATTGGGCCAGCTCGCGGGTTGAATTTTTATTTTTATTATTATAAAAAAATACAAAATATAATATATAAAAATGGACAAAACCCACCCACGCTGTCATCGTCTTTCTTCCTTCTCTAAAACCAAGTCCTTAATCTTCTCACATTGCTACACCATTTTTATATTGTTAGACATTGGCTCTGTTTGGTTCAAATATCTTACCCACTCATTACTAAGTGGTTCTGATTGTTTCTTGATATTGGTGCAAATTTGTTGTGAAGAAAATTCGAAACTAGAACATTTTGCGTTTACTTCTCATTCTGTAACTTTCTATTTTGCTTTTTTTATAAATTATTCTGTAAGACAATTGTATTGTTTAAGCTGATAGAAGTCGCATAGCTGGTGCATTAATATTACAAGTTCATTTAAATAGGCTGAAATGAGTCAACATGTGAGCCATTTTTGAGCCAACCCGCGAGTCACTTTTTGAGCCAACTCGCAAGCCACTTTTACGATCCAACTCATGAGCCATATTTTTTAGCCAACCCGCAAGCCAACCCTAACCATGCTCGGGTCAGGTTGGGTTGAGTTTTCTGACTCATTTTTTTTTTCCGAACCAACCTAACCGAACTCAATTTTTTTGGGTTGCACGCGGGTTGAACTGGGTTAGCTCATTTTGCCAACCCTACCTACCTAGAGCACAAAAATATAGCGGTTCCTTTTGAAAAAATATGGAAAACAAAATGAAAATATAAATTAAAGAAGACTTCGTTTTTTCTGCACTTACTGCAAATAAGTTATCTGCAGTAAGTTCAATACGACGTCGTTTTGGGGCGAAAATCATAGTGTTTTTGTAATTTTAATTTATTTCAGGATTATTATAGTCATTATAATTATAATTTTATAATCTTTCAATCCTAAAATGACGTCGTTTTAAAAGTAAATACAGATAATTTATCTGCATTAATTACAGAAATATTTTTCTGATAAAAGAAAAGAATAAAATGAAAAATCTTGTGTGAAAATACAAAAGGAACCACTGAATTTTTGTGCACTAGAAACCCAAAAACTTTTCGTGCAATTTATGAGAAGATTTTCGGTACAACAACCAACAGGTGTACTTACACTCTAATTAAATGAGGAAAATTCTTGAGAAGCGGAGGAAAATTTAAATAAAAATAGAAAAAAGTGATTATCATTTATATCATTTTTATATAATAATATATTGTTTTGATGTATTTTTCTTTTTCTTTTTTTATAAAATTAGGAAGAAAAAGAAAGTGGAGAAAAGAGAATATAAAAATATACCAAAACGATATATTTTTATTAAAAATAATATAATTTTGTGTCATTTAAATCGATAAATATTTTTATCATAATAATTCTATGATATAATTTTTATAAAAAAAGTAAAAATTTGGTTCTGTTACTAGAAGCCCAGTTTAGAATGAAAAAGCCCACACAAAAGAGGAAAAAAATAAAATGAAAGGAGAGTGTTGGGTTTGGGACTTTGGGTTGTTGAAAATTATTGATCCCATATACTGTACACGTTGTAACAGTAACACGCATATTTCACAATCCTCAGCATCGTCTTCAATTCAACAGTCAAAATCTGTGAAGTTTCTGGTATGTGCCCTATCCGTGTTTATCTCGGACCTTGTTCAATTTCCCCAGTTTTCTTAAGAATCACAAAATCTGCACTCTAATTACTGCTTTTCAATTTCTTTTGTTCTTTCTTTCCTTTTTGATCTCTTGAAGAATCAAACTAGTTATTCTGGCATATGATTACGTTGTAGGTTTTGAAGCAATAGTCCCGAATCCGATCTTTATTGTGTTTGGATCTCTATATGTGACTGTAAGTTATAGTGTCATCTCTCCTTTAATTACTGCAACTCCTTTATCAGTTTTTAATTTTCATTTCAAACTGCAACTGCACTTAAGTTTATTGTTCCATTTTAAATTCTTGTATAGAGAACAGGTTAGGCTTCATGGAAAGGGCTTTTGGGGATCATTGAAGAAGATAGCGAATTTATGGTTTCGTTTCAACTGTTAGTTCCAGTTATAGTTTGTTGTCTACCCTTTTCATAACTTCAGTTTTTTCGGATTCTACTTTTGTCCCCATAAAAACCAATTACTTTTGGGTTTACATTACCCTGCTTGATAGGAATTAATTATAATCTCTGGTTGAAATAGAAAAGAGGGGAAAATTCCATTGATGATTTGAGCCAAAATTTCCAAATGTTTATTTGCTTTCTTCTTCATTTTTTGCTTCCTTATTTATAATATTTCCATATATATGAAGAATCTGAGACCTCTGTTTAATATGCAGTATTTGCAAGTATTCAATGGCCTTTGTCGTTGTCGTAGAGTAAATGGAAGGGGTAGTTATTGCCCCATTTTTCCAAGTATATCAGATATTTGCTGGGGATTAAGTTAAAAGTACTCAATGGTAAACCCAAAAGTGTCTAGTCGGCCAAAAATATGCTACAGGCCTATACGACCTTCTGACCTTGACATTCTGGAGCATATCCATGGCAAACTATTTCCCATCAGGTGAGATCATGGTGCTGTTTCACTGCTTTAAGTATGAGCCCTGGAAATTGTGTTTACTTAAAAATCTTGTCAATTTTCAGGTATGAGTCTGCTTTTTTCCAGGATGTGGTAAATGGACACGACATTGTGTCATGGGGAGCTGTGGATTCTAATCGGCCTGATGGCCAAAGTGATGAACTCATTGGATTTGTAACAGCACGGATTGTTCTTGCAAAAGAAAGTGAGGTTGGTCGCTTTTATGTATGCCTTTTGTCTGATTACTTCAATCTTTTTTATGAAAAACTCATTTTGTGTATCGCTGCTATAAGTATAAATTGAGATGGAAAGGGAGACTGTGATCTGTTGTTCGATCTTCCACTACTCTGTGGTAAGACATCTTTCATGTGGTAAGTGCTGTTATAATGCTTGGATGATTTAGTTGGTCGCTTTAAAGGGGATTTGTTATGTAGCTAGTAGTTGTTGAAAAATTTATCCAAGATGCATTGAGCCAATCTTCTTAATACATTCCATGGTTATACACCAAGACAAACTTGATGAAAAGTTTTGTCTGTAATATCTGTGTCTGATTTAACCAATCATTTTGATCCCAATATATCCAAGACAAACTTGATGTAATACAATATTCCTTAATGTTCGCTGTCCAATTGGGTGGCTTGATTATTTTGTTGGTCTATTATGTTAGCTGTTGCATAACGGCCGAGTAAAATTAAGTTTGCAAGAAATATATACAAATTGTCCATAGAAAAGGCCCTTTTTAAAGTACAGATATTTGAAAGCTTATACTTTTACTGATAATTTTGAATATTATTCTTGTAGATAATGGATATGCTTGGTTATGACTCCTCCAAATCAGATCAAACTTTAGTTTACATTCTGACGCTGGGAGTAGTGGAATCATATAGAAATCATGGAATAGGTAGCACTTTTTTTCTCACTTCAATATTGTTAAAGTTTCTGTAATATAATTGGTAGCCTAATTTGTGCCTCATCTGCAGCTTCTTCTCTGATTAGGGAGGTCATAAAATATGCTGTAAGTATTCCAACCTGCCGAGCTGTTTACTTGCATGTAATTTCTTACAATAAGCCAGCAATCTATTTGTACAAGAGAATGTCTTTCAAGTGCGTAAGAAGGCTGCAGGGATTTTATTTAATCAACGGACAACATTATGATTCATACTTATTCCTGTACTATGTTAATGGGGGACGATCTCCTTGCTCACCATTGTAAGTACAAAATACCTTTTATGCCTTGATTTGTTCAGACTGGTATTACATGTTTTAAATGAACCTTTTGTTATCGATAATGTAAAAGTTATTGCACCATTACTCTTGAATTGGACCTGTGTTTCTAAACCTTTTGGCTTAAATAGATTAAGGTGAACCAATAGGGGTCTCCTCTATCTCTATTGATATATACATGTTTTGACTCAATGTGTGAAAGATATTTTGTTTCTGTGGTAAATTGTTTTGAATCGTATCATATCATAAGGTACATAAACTCAAGCTTAATAGTCTTAATTTGATGGTCAACTGACCATTGGCATTTTAAAATCATTGTCTCTGAAGGCCATGAAAGGAAAATCATGGTGGCTGATATCAAGATCTTTATTAGGAGTTAGCTGTTAATAACTTTCTACATAGAAGCTGGATAGCTACCTTTATATTCACGACACTGCCCCATATCTATTCTTGTATAGTGTGTAATGCAACTTTCATAGTGATTATTGATTGATGTTCGAAGTTAAAAGTTTAATAAAATGATGTAGTATATACTGCCCCTTCTAACTTCTTTTTGATTTCCAAATGGGATGGCCTTTAATATTAGTCAATATTCATCGTATATGTATGCCACTTGTATATCTTTTTGCAGTTTCTTTTATCCATTAGTAAATCATATCAAAATTTATAATTTCCATTTCACATTTCAGAGAGCTTCTCACTGCAATAGTAAGCTACTTGAGGAGTGGCATTAAGTCAGTGGCTGGAAGGCTGTGCAAGAGTGAAGACAGGAAGATCTCAAGGTGGGCAAAGTGTAAAGAAAGCCATTCTCTTGTATCAGCGACACATAACAAGAGAAACCTGGCAGTCGAGTGTACTGGATACGAGTGTGTTTAATTTTTTATTTTATTTTTAAATGTTTCCCGTTTCCTGTATCATCCAATCCCACTCTTGATTCCTCCTAGAAAGGTTATATTGAAACAAAAAATAATACTTACTCTAACTACCATGTCCTAATAAACGTACACATTTCCTGTTAGAAGGTAATAGTGTTTGTGCAAGCAATGACACTTGTGATTCGGTTGATCATTGTTGCAATTTTCTAAGGTAGCTGGCAGGCAGGCACCGCAATATTTGTAATTAGCCCAAATAATGGAAGCAGAAATGAAATCTCAAGATGGAAGGGAATTCTAATTTATAACGACTCAAAATCTCAAACAAATCAGCTTACAACTTCAGACCCGGTCTGTTTGGTATCTAAAGCCTATGTCTAACTCTAAAACCAGTCAACCAGATGTAACTATATGACGTTACTTATCACGTTTTGGAGTCAGTAACTCCAATACAACTATAGCTTGATCCTATATGGCATGTGCGTCTCTCTATAAACTCTATGGTGTATGCTTTGGTGAGTTATTTGAGTAATCAGAAACCTCCATCACCAGTGGATAAACGTCTGTTTTGGGATCATATTGCTGAAACACTATAACTGATGCAGAAGTGGAGAACTCCGAAGAAGCCAAGTAACTTCCAACAGGACCAAGCTCTGGGCAATCACTTCTGTCTACCAAAGGTGCTACTGGTGGCATTCTACCTACCAAAATCAGATTGCTCTTATTCCGTTCCCTCAATACGGTTACAAGATCTTCTTTGCTTTCCACCAACCTTTCCTCATATACTATAGACCCTTCGCTCTTGCTGCATACACTTAAGAACTCAGACCAAAATTTGTCATCCTCTTGTTTATCTTCATCGTGGTTAGTGCCATCAGCCACTTTTATTACCTTCCTGTCCTTGTTGGCTGTTACACCAACCAATTTGGCACCAAAGGCCAATGTCTTCCCAGGTGAAGCAACAAACTTAGTAACAGTGAGCAAAATCCCAGGGTGCTCAGCCATTCTCATACCATAGGCAAGTGCTTCACGGTCATCACATCCTCCAAAGAAGGCTACAGCAACGTTGTAGGACACATCACTAGCTTGTACCTGGCTTGTCCCTCCAAGGCCACGATCAACCAAAATTCCTATCGAGCAAGGAGCATGGCTAAGAACAAGGCCATTCATTACATGGAATGAGTTTCCCAGTGACTCCATAGTCCCATCAATACGTTGGTGTTTGTGGAATGGGAGGAGAATCATTGCTACTCGCTTTTGGTGTGCACTTGTACAAATGTCCTCATGAATGTTGTTGAGAGGAGAGATGGCTGTCATGGGACGAACATTGACACTACTTAGCTGCCCATAAGTCTGAAATGCAATGACCATTTGATCTTTGTCGTCATGTATTTTGTTCCAAAAGGGCATGCCATTTTTACGTGCCTTATGAACCATTGTGATAGCTGAAGGTCGCTCTGAGAGTTCCATCAAGTGCATGGCATATATGCATAACTTTCCTCGCTTCCTGGTTCCCCTGGAAGACTCTATAAGATTGATTAAGGTAGGAATGTTGCGAGTACTGTGGAAGCAAGCCAGCACCCGAAGCTCTGTGTCAGGATCTTTGCGCTGAATCGTTTTGTGCATGTAAGGTGATCCCCTGCGAGCTGGTTTATAAACTGCCATCACTATTGGTGTGGTGATGAAAGTGGTCAACAATGCCATTAGAACACAAATTGCAAATGCCTGGTCGTTCAGTACCTGTGCATTTTGCAAGCATTATGAATTTATGATTGATTAATTTCAAACTGAATGAATTGCTTTCATATGTACAAGATTTTATGAGTAGAAGATACCTTGCGATCCTTGCCAATGTTGAGAACAATGAGCTCCACCAAGCCTTTGGTGTTCATGAGAAATCCAAGGGTGAGGGCCTCTCTAAATGGCACCTTACATAACATTGACACAGTTAATGTGCCAATGATCTTTCCAAAGCAAGCAGTGAATATAACAAGGACTAGTAAAGCCCAAGAAAGTGCTCCACTTATGGTTGCCACATTAGTCTTCAAACCACTGGACACAAAATAGAGTGGCAAGAAAAGACCCATTACAAGGTCCTCTATCTTCTCAGTCAACACCCCAGCTAAGGGACCATCTTTGGGCATAATAACGCCAACTACAAAAGCCCCAAAGAGTGCGTGAATGCCAATAGTATCAGTGACAAAACTACAAGCCAAGACTAGTGTCAAGATGAAGCATATATAGATCTCCTTCACTGGTTCACCCTCAGGGGAACGCTTAGCCATTATTCCAAGCAAGGGTTTTATGGCAAAGATAGCAAAGAGTACAAAACCAGCACCACAAAGCAAGACCCATAAAGAAACGAGTGGGGATGTCTCAGAGCCAGAGAGAGCAATGGCAAGAGCCAGTAGTATCCAAGCTGCAACATCATTGACAGCAGCAGCTGACATTGCTATGCGACCAACATCAGTTGTGAGGAGTTTGAGCTCAGCTAGGATACGAGCAAGGACAGGAAATGCAGTGATTGAGAGAGCAACACCCATGAAGACAAGGAACGAGGCTGGATCAACACCTTTGGATATGGTGGCTCTAAGTGCAAATGATGTGCCAATGCCAAGTACAAAAGGTACTGTGATTCCAGCAAGGGCAATGCATAAGGCCTTATGACCAGTTCTCCTTATAGAACGCATGTCAAGCTCAAGACCCACTAGAAACAAGAAAAATAGAAGGCCAACATTGGCAATTGTCTCAAGAACGGTTAAACTTTTCTTGGGGAAAAATGTGTTTAGAAATTTCTCGCTCCTCCCAATTGCAGATGGTCCTAGTAGTATTCCTCCCTGCATTTATTTTTCAATGCAGAATGCATCCAACCCCACATTAAATTTGTGCATGAATTAGAATTTAAAAAAAAAAAGAGAGTTTAAATGGCCATGATCATGATTTGTGGATTTTGAGTTTTAACACAGGTGAGTGATGCAGAAAAACTCATCTTTAAAAACAATCAAGGTGGCATTTATTCATTAAAAATAATAAAAATCAAATAAAGCAATGAAGGTTACGGGAAGGTTATATTTATAAATTTTTTTTATTTATAAACTCTTACAAACTACACTATGTCTGACCGGTCATCATACACTAATCAAGAGTGTATGACCGATCATACACAAGTTAAAAAAAGGTTTGTAAACAGATCCTTCTCCGAAAGTTCTAACTCTAATTCTCATTCTCATGTCTTGTCAATAAGATAAAGAAAACTTACAATAACCTCTGCAATGACTCTGGGTTGTCTGAGAGGCGTCAAAATGAATGCAAGGAATCTGGTAAATGCAACCACCAAACATATCTGAACGATTAATAAGGGAAGTGCATAATCCAGCGGGTTTTCATGTTGGAATGCCCCGTTGGACGTGGCCTTCATTGGTGATGGACATGTTAAATCATGAGTCGCCATTTCAATTGATTCAGATTAGGAAAGGACCAAGATTCATGTAACACAGAATGAGAGCTTCTTATCTTTGCATGTGCCCTGTTATAATTAAGTGAAAGGAAAACACAATATATGTCAGAGATAGAAGGGACTTACAAGAAAGGAAAGGAAATACACTTGCTAATAAAGGTAACTGAGGCACATAAGTAAGAGAAGGCATGACCAAATTGGTTTGTGATGAAGTTGATTTGTGTACACACACAAGCGCAAATTCTGCTGAATGGAAAATTGGTGAATGACAGAAGGCAATGAAGCTTTGAGTTTGCTCCTGTTCTATATATAGAATCTTGTTACTCGAGTGTTTGTGACACCAGCGCCATTGTGTCCTTTCTTCTGATTGGAAATATTCGTTCCGTTCATTTTATTTTTAGGAAATCCGAAAGAAGGGTTTGATTCATAAACATTGAAAACACAAGCACTGTAAGTAGGGTGGTAAATGACCACGCCTGGGTCTTTGGGCCAATTCGTCGGGACTTGAATCTATGTAAAATTAATTATTGGAATCAGGTTTAGATTTTTATAAAATCATCTTTAATAAAAAAATTTAGGCTCTAATTTAAAAGTCCGATGTTAGTAATAGTTAGTATATTAATTTTTATTTTTATTTTATAGTTTTTATACTATTCATAATAACCTTCTTTCTTCAACTCATTTCACCTTATTTTATTGATTAAACAGACTTTTCGAATAATTTTGTTTTATATTATGTTGTTTGGATAAATATTGAATTTATAAATCTTTGTGAAATTATTGTTGTTAATCGTATATTTTGTTTGGTTAAATTTTTGTTGTTTTGTTTTTAACAAGTTAAACCAAGTTTTAATTTTTTTGTAAATAAGTCAGGCCACACACTGATAATTACATTTGCAACAGATAATAGGTTAGATCATACTAACATATTTAATACAAACTTAACCTTTTAATATCAAAATTCAGCAAGTAAGTGTTTGACTTATGATTAAGGATGTATTTTCCCTACCACAACCACTAGGAATATGCTAGAATATATGGAAATTAATTAATTTATGTAAATGCACCGTAAAAAAAGAAGAGTATTTTATGGATTGTCCTTTAATTTATTAATATTTTAAAAATTAAACCGACAATATAATAAAAAGTTGTTAGGTCAAAAACACAATTAGTTCACAGTTTGACTTTTTTAGCGTAAGTTGAATCTATGCATGTATTATAAAAAGTAACGGATTTTATATAAGAGGAATATTATATGGGATAGGATATTGTGACACCCAAGTTATGTTGCACTCATGTGACACTCAGTCAATTTCACCGTTAGATCGCTTATGTTGATCCAACGGTTATATTTATTTCCATCTTTGTATGGTCATGATTTTCCAAATTTAATATTTTATATTTATTTCTACCTTTGAATAGTTATGATTTCCTATATTTAATGCTTTCACTTTAAATTTGGGAAATCATGACCATACAAAGATGGAAATAAATATAACCGTTGGATCAACATAAGTGATCTAACGGTGAGATTGACTGCGTGTCACATGGGTGTAACATAACTTGGGTGTCATAATATCCTATCCCATATTATATTTATAAACTTTTTGTTTACAAATTCTAAGGGCTTGTTTGGAGCACCTGATAAAGAAGATAAGATAGGTTAACTTATTATATCCTACTTTTATCTCTTGTTTGGGGGGTCAATAGGATATGATTAGTTTATCTTATTGTCTCATTTTATCCTATCCAATACATGATTTCTTATCATATAGGGGGAGCTGGGTTAGGATTCAATAGGATAGAATACCAATATTGGATACTCAATATATCCTCACACTACCCAATATTTCCCACACTATCCAATATATTTGTATTTATTGCATCATATTTTGTTTTCTTTTTCCTTCTACATAATCTTATTATATTGCTAATCAAGTGCTCATCAAACACAGGACATGATATAGGCTTATCAGCATCATATCGTATCCTACTCTCAGCCCCATATCATATCCTATCTTTATCCTATCATGTCCACCAAACAAGCCCTTACAAATTACATTAAGTATGATTGGTTATACTTCAATCAAAAGTATATAATTAGTTATACTTAGTGTAATTTGTAAAAAAAAAATTGTAAACGGATCCTTCCGTAATACTATTCACATTAGTGTTAGAAGAAGGAATAACTTATATCAATATTCTTTTTAAACTTATGGATTTTAAGTAGTACAAACAATTCCCTCGTTAAAATTTCTCTGTTTTATACAATCTTACTATTAAAAAGACTTAAGAGAAGACTAATGTGAACAGTAAAACGATTGAATTACCATTCTCGCTTATTATTTTTTATTTTTTATTTGGGTAAACACATATTTTGGTTCATTAAGGATATAACTAATATTGAAATTAACCCTCTAATAGTAAATACATTAAAGTATTCTTAAACAAATAATTAAATTTATCAAAGTTAATTTATTATTCTTAGGGCCATTGATGTCCAATAAATGATATTGAAAGATCAATTTAAGATTAAATGACTGTTTTATATATTTTTTACTGAATAATAAAAATTATAATACTTATATATTTAGAGTATCAAAATGAGTTTTTACTATTTTTATTACTTATTATAAAAAAACTGTTGTTCAGAAAAATGGAGAAGGGATAGTCATTATTTGTTGTTTGAAAACAAAGCCGCCTCTGTTTAGCCAAACGGACCATCATGAAAATTGGGGGAAGAAAGAAAAAAAAGACTAAGGTGGTGTTTAGTCGGGAGCTTTTCAGCGGATATCTATGTTTCTTAAGTATGGCTTTTAGAAACACCATGTTTGTTTCAACGTTTTTCACCAAAAACCCATCTATCCAATTTGTCTGGATTTATGATAAAGATAGATATCCGCACTGTTTAGAAACCCAATTTGAAGGTGTGATTTTTCGGAAAACCGGTTATCTGACTTTTAATGCATTGTTTATTTCATAAAGTTACCTAATTTTCTCAGTAAAATTTTTCTCCACCAAACAACTTTTTTTTTTACATTTTTCTATCTATCTCATTTTATCTATCTTTCCAATCATTTCTCTCTATCTATCTCATTTCTCTACTATTCCAAAAAAAATTCCTGAATCAAAACGCCCCCTAATGAACTTTGTTTGATAGTTCTAAAACAGTTACAAGGATTCCCACTCAGATATGAAAGTTCTAGTTGGCTCCCACTAATATATGAAAGTTCTAGTTGGCTACTCAATAATGAGGCAAAAAATTAAGTGATGGCCCTATAATTTTTAAAAAATGCTTAAAATTTGCATAAATTTAAGTTCTAGTTGCTTAACATTTTTTTTTTTTTGTAAATTCTCATGTGAGCCAAAAATGATAACTTAATTTCACTATACATTTTTCAAATGATTCAAATAAATTTATCTTAAAGTATGAAAGATTCAGAAGAGGCATGTGGAAGTATAGTTGCGCGCGCATATATATATATATATATATATATATATATATATATATATATATATGAGATTTATTAATCTTATGTTATATGTATAGTGTGGGTGACACAAATATGTGAGGTTCACAATTTAAAAAGAAAAAAGAAAGAAAAAATTGGCACGAAATTTTATAAATGTATGATATAAGATAGTTTTTTTTTATATAACATGAGGCTATTATTTTCATATATATATATATATATATATATGGTTTGATTTTTCTCGTTGCATGAGATAAATTGTTTTATGCAACATACAAAAAAATGGATGAAACCTATTAATGAGAAAAATATTTATCATATATATATATATATATATATATATATATATATATATATATATATGAGTTCATTTTTTCTACAGTAACTGTAGATAAGTTATCTGCAGTAAGCCCAATACGACGTCATTTTGATGCAAAAATCATAGTATTTTTGTAATTTTAATTTATTTCAGGGTTATTATAGTCTTCATAACTATAATTTTTTTAATATTTCAATTACAAAGCGACGTCGTTTTTGAAGTAAATGCAGATAACTTATCTGCAGTAACTGCGAAAATATTTTTCTGTATATATTGTTTCTCATGTTATAGAAGATAATGTTATCTCCTGTATATATATAAAAGTGTGTGGTACCATGTGAAGAGAAAAAGATAATAAGAGTCTCACATAAGATATTATTGTTTCTTATGTTATAGGAGATAGTGTTATCTCCTGTATATATATAAAAGTGTGTGGTACCATATGAAGAGAAAAAGATAATAAGAGTCTCACACACTTTTATATATATATATATATTTGAAAAAATATTTATCAAGCAGCTTGAGATAGGTTTATCTTTGACTACCCTAAAATTACGTCATTTTATTTATTTATTTTCTTATATTATCTCCTACAACATATATATATAAAATAAAATTATCTCTTACAAGATATATAAGAAACAATAATCCCATATAATAATGGTACTTTGTGGGAGATTTGGATTTATTGGATTGACTTTTTATACAAAACAATTAAATAAATTATTTATTGAATTTTATCCTTTTGAACAATAAAAATTATGTCATTTTATCCACTTATAACTATGTATCTCGAGAAATATTATAATTATAATATTAAAGTTTTATTTTTTTTCTTTATTCACAAACGGTCAGCTGACATGTAAAGTGGAAAAGAGTATAATTTTAATATTATAATTATATATTTCTCAAAATATATAAAAGGAACTTAAATTCTTTAAAATGACAAAAGAACTTCCCATATTTTTTGTGGGGGAAATTTTTCTTTTGTTGCATGAATGACATTGACTAAAAATGCATGTCGGCTTCACTATTAATTTTTTCTCGCTCCACATTTTTCTCTCTCCTCGTTTGTAATGGCCTAATGGGTCAGTGGGAGATTATGTTTCTTTCCAATAAGAGGAGAGAATCTAATCCCATTTATTATATTCAAATTCAAATGAATTTTATTTTTTCTAAATCTTATTGGGGGGAGTTTGATA